CTGCTGGCCAAGCCAAAGCCAATCAGAGACAGTGGTAGTGCCTCTGTGATAATATATTTAAGAAGGGGAAAAAAAAACTAGCACGCAGCATTTGCAGCCAGATAGACAAGTGAGAATATGTGAGAGAAACAACTCTGCAGACATCAAGGTCAGTGAAGAAGGAGTGGGAGGACGTGCTCCAGGCACCAGAGCAGAGCTTCCCCTGCAGCCCCTGGTGAAGACCATGGTGAGGCAGGCTGTCCCCCTGCAGCCCATGAAGGTCCCCGGTGGAGCAGATATCCCCCTGCAGCCTGTGGAGGACCCCATGCCGTAGCAGGTGGATGTGCCCTGAAGGAAGTTGTGACCCCCGTGGAGAGACTGAGCTGGAGCAGGCTCCTGGCAGGACCCGTCCCTGCAGGGGACCCATGCTGGAGCAGTCCATCCTTATCACTCTTTGTTGTGATTTACTGTAGTCCAGCTTATCTGACATGGTTTGGTGAAAGAACAAGTTGTATAGCCTAAAAGGTATATAAACTCTGTAACTAGCGGTGTTCTCTCCTATAGCAATGTACTGCTTTTCTGTTCTGACCCGATCAAAACTGCATTCCAGTTATTCCATGACAACACTTACCTCTCTCTGGCACCATATCACCTTTACAGTATCAGTGATATTGTAGGCTGTATTCAAACAAGCTATACTGAGGCACTGTAAAAAAAAAAATCTAATTGCAGGGCTACTACTGTTATAGGGGTCACTTCCTAGTCCAAACAGAATCCATTGTATAGCATTAGTAAAAAGCCTTAGGCCACAAGCTGTGAACTTTCACCTAGATACTGATGAACTTATTCTGAACTCTGACTCAGTTACATGAGGGGAGGCCCTGAAACCGGTGTAAATTAGAAAGATAAGATAGTCACATCCATCAGCAGAAGTTGTCTCCTCAAGAAAAGGAGCAGCCCACCTGGAGACAGTGAAAGGATCCAATGAGGAACAAGGACACCCTAGACCCAAATACTACTATTGGACTGAACCGTCTCATGAGGGAAGGGGAACTTAGATTGTAAGGTTATAATTGCCCAGAGATTCTTTTGTTCGGGGTCCCTCTCCGGAGGCATCCAGCTCGAGCTGTTCTTCACCACTGTACCACTTATTTAATAAATGTCTGGCATACGTCATGTCAGAGATTCTGCTTCAGGAAACCTAGGGTCGAGCCTGAGGGAAGAGAAAGCGCCCGAGAGTGAGAGTGTATGTGTGAGACGAGTCAAAAGGGGCACCCGTCAGCTCACTGGAGTTGCCAGCTGTGAAGGGGCTCCTGTCCTATTTTTGAAGGGCCTCCTGTCCTAGCAGTTAAAGTCTCGGGTGGTGTGTGTGCGACTCCTTGATTGGTGTGTGAATGCTCGGGCAGCGGCTTCTCCCTTAACAACTACCACAGGGACTGGTTTGCAGCAACTAATCACCCCTGAACTTGTTTGTTATATTGAGTCCATATACTTGCTCACCTATGCTGACACACAACTTTCTAAATAAGGACTGATTAGAGTTTTACTGTATTAGCTATGACCTTTTATATTTAAAGAAATTGAATGTGTACTGTTCTGCTACCAATAAGATTTGTTAGATAGAAAGTACTGTTTATTTTGACCATACTTCTAAACCACTGCTGTCCACACCCAGAAAGAGTACAAGCTAGCTTCCCAGGAAGAAAAAAAAAACCTAAAAAAAAAACCAACCCAAAAAACCCCAACACGACAGGAAGTGCAGGCTAAATCCTGACTAAAAGATTGGAGCAGAAAGATAAATTGGTACTACTAAAATAATTTAAGTGTTAAAAAGCTCAGTGAAGTTTCTAGTTTACACCATAGAGATTATTTATCCTGCAGTGACTTAAGCTATCACATTACAACCAGCATCAACTCTAGAGTCCTATAGTTTCAGGCTCTCAGAGGCTAGTCTATTACCTATCACTGCCACCTTTCTTTTCAGATTACTTAGCTGCTATTTGGGAACTAGTCAGAGGCAGTTGCAAAACTCACTTGATTTACTTTTAACTTTATATTTTTATAAGAGCAACTCAAATAAGGGTCAGAAATTTAGGACTGCAGGGTAAAACAATTCCTGCATAGAAACAAAGTAGCTTTCACAAATTAAATTTTTTTCTCAAGTGGATATCCCTTCTAACACGTTAGACAAGAATATTAGTTTTGTCTGGTTAATTAGGACAATCAGGTTTTATATAGCATTAAAAGTTTATTCCTTTATGCCTACTACTGAACAGATGAAGCCATTGGATTTGAACATGCTAAACTGTTTAGTAGAAAAGATAGATGTGAACGTTATTGAACACAGGTAACAAGTGATTATCTAGTCAGAACATGCAATATGCAAACTTAAATCAAATAAAAAGTCAAATAGGAGATTACATTAAGGATAACTTCATTAATCTTTGAATATCATAGCAGCCTACTTGGAATTGCATTTGACTGAGCTATGTTGCTGTAAATAATACAGCTCAGGCACAGGTATGGCTGCATGTTTTGTACACTTTCAAGTATTCACTGACTACTACCAACATATATAGACTCATACACATAAAGCTCCAGAAGATTTAGGAGATTTCTGGAAGGCAGTTCATTTTTTCTCATTCTTTGGAAGAGGTCTTATGAAGAGAAGAATATGTGGCTCTGAAAATAAAATAGGACAAAGCGTCAGCCTGTCACTCAAGTCCTGATTACAGATACTTCTTTGATTTAAAAGAGCTTGAACAATAATTGAAGCTTCCTGTCATATAACAAGTAGATTAAGAGATCAAGCCCACAGGAAGGTCTTCATGTATAGTATTTTCAGATCAACTTTGTATTAACCATGGAATAGTCATAGATGCTTTTGAAAGTTTAATGCCAAAAATTGGCAGGTTCATAAGCTTAAGAATTAAACAAACAAACAAAATGCCAAAAAACCACCACAACCCAACCCCCCAAAACCAGCAGAACTGGTACCAGTTCTGTCTCTACACTGGGCTATTTGATGAGTTTTATCACTGTAACTTACTCTAATGAAGTGGTGGTTCTGTCCTGATCAGGTATGTACTAACTGACAAGCATCAAAAGTCACTTTAATTATCAATAACATAAGTTGACTGCATTAACATTGACTTAATCATAAATACCTTAAAAAAAAGCACAAGGCAATACATTCAAAGTATCAAAGGTGTCCAGATAAGGCAAATACTGGAAGATTAGGCCAATTACTTCTGGTTCTTTGGAAGCTTGGAACTCCATGGGACTAACTGCAATTCATCTATCACCAGTTAAATCACCATTGACAAGACTGACTAAAAAGGTATTTAGAATGGTCATTCTCAGTATTTTATACTTACTGAAGTTTTAGAGCTTCACAGACCAGTGACTGAAAAGACCCTGGCTTCAGTGTAGCTTTTAGCAGGCAGTATAGCTAGAGCTCAAACTATACTATAGATTTTTTTTCATAGCATTGTTACAGGACCTCATCTAGGCAAGCATCTATTATTTTTTTTGTATGAAATAGGTATGTCTATTTCATTATACAAAGATGTGCTGCTACATCAAGTTTGGGGCAGTCACTGAGATACTAACATAACTCAAGATGTCACCAAAACCTTTTTTTATAGGCAGAGATAGGAACATATTCAAATCTAGTGTGTTTTGTCTGCTAAGAGGCTGCAGATACCTAGAAGGAAGCTAGCATTTTGCATGTCCAGTTCTGAGAGTGAGGGGTGAAGGTTTAGAATAAAGGTTGCTACACCACTTATGTTGGTAAAAATAGCAGACAGATAAAGAAGAGTTTAAACATTTAGCAGGAAACTCCAATTAGATTCTAGAGGAAAGTAATTACACACTGAGCTTCAGTTTCAAACACCAGAGAGGTGGTATTTTAGACTCCTTTGTTCATCTTATTTTGTTTAGCTGTGCTTACCCGGCTCATGGATCATGTAGTGAGCCCAGTCAAGACTTTGCTGAACACCAAGTCATCTCCATTCCTCTTGAGACATTAGATGAGTTTTTGGTACTTGCTTTGAAAGTTCTCTTGGCAGCATCACGTGTCTGTAGAAGTTTAATTATTAACCTCATATTACACACACCAATGCCTGTCTTAGTGTACACTAGAAAACTTGCACAGATCTATACTGAAAGACAATAAGCAACTTCAGTTATGAATACCAAAAACCTCTTAGAAAGAAGCCTACAGTGTTAATGGATACTAATTGGATTATGAAGCATCAGTTAAAAAAAGCAATTTAAAATTCACTTTACCTACCAAACGTTACATCTTTAATGCAACTGTACACTGAAATCTTCAACTTACTGCCTAAACCAGAAGATTCAGTCCCCTGCGTGCTCTAATCACAGTACCTGTGGTACACAAGTACAGTCATGGCATTTAATTGTCATAGCAGTTAACATGATTAGAAAAATACGGACTTTCTACTTTTAGAAGTCACTCCACCTAGCATCAGTTACAATCCAGAACAGACTAGTGCTACAGCATAGCTTTAAAATAACATATAGAAGGCTACCCAGGTGTCGGCAGCTAGGGTAGAGCTCTTACCATCCAGCAGCACTGCTCTCCACTCAGCAGCATCCACCTCTGCCCACAGCCACTGTGCCAGGGAGACCTAGTGGGCTTCAACCCCACCGCTTCCTTCAATGCCCTCTAACCGGAGCTGACATTGCCGACTTACTAGAGATGACTACAGAAAGGGGACAAGGCAGACCAAAACCAGCAATCAAATCGCCCGATT